AAGTCGTCAGCGCATCGGCGCAGGAGCCAGGCTGGCCATTCAAGCAAGCATTAGAGGGCACCACATGCCAGGCAAAGTGGCTGTCGCCGAGCTAGCGCGTGGCTGGCTGGCTGGCTGGCGGTTGGAACGCCCTGCTGCTGCCCTAAAACGCCTGCTCACCTGTCTGATGGCCCTGACCTGTCGGGTCCAGCCGGCTAGCAGCTCAGAGGCTCGCGCTCTGTTCACTCATCACCAGCTAGCCGAACGCAGATCGAGTATTGGGTGTACGAAATACTCTGCTACTTCACATTTAGTCTGAATCTTTTGATTTCATTGATTTCTGGCTCTGACGCAAAACAGTGGTTGATGCGCGAGCCCACTTTCCACATTCTCCACTCAGCCCCACCTTCCGATCGTCGAGTTCCGTGTCAACGGCAAAATTTTTCAGCGATGGCATAATGTACCGTAAGGTTTGGCACGGTCCTTCCTGCCCTATGACATCACCTGGCCTTTAGCGCGGTCGCGTCCACCTGTCGAGGCCATTCTAGTTAGGGGCAAACAGCGAACGCTGAATCTGCACGAGCCTACCCCGCTAGTGGGAAGCAGGTCCTCGGACCGATCGGGCCATCGGGGCGGAAAGACCTGACTCGAATAGCGCTGGTATCGATGTCCGAACGAGACAGATCATGTTTAGGCCCTGAGGCCCTGCCCCCCGTCCAGCCTTTGGTGACGTAGAACTATCCCAGTCGCAGCTCTGAAGTTCAAGTATGTCGGTCATGCTACAGAAGAAGGACGGGCAGCGTGACTGAGCAAGCGCAGCGTGAACTCGGGGCTTCCAGCTGCGCCTGGTGGCCTTGTCGACGGGAGCGTGATGGCGGGATTTGGTTCGAGGCAGTCTGGCAAGCTGCATTTGATGTAAGGGCGGCTATTTCTTGCCGTTTAGCTATTTGTGAAATGCTGAAAATGCGCTTTAGGGCCGTCATCACAGCTTACTTGCAGGCAATGAAACCTTACTTGGTGTCCAAAAGGATACCTGTGCAGCGATTGTGACTGTAAAACACACACATCCGTCGCTTAAAACCTAACGCGCCGTTGTCGGTAGGCTTGGCTCTCATATTGTGGACTTACATTGTACATTGTTATGGACCGTCCGTAATAGTGACACCGTGAGTCTGTCACGGTTCCACGTCCCGGGACTGTCCCATGGACGCCATTACAGAAGGGGTACCGCTTCTGGAGTATGTGACGCTCCGGCGCATATTCGGCTTTGCCACTGTCATTGGGCGTTGTATATCAACATTTTGACAACATTTTATGTATCATCATCATGTATCATCATCATCATTATGTATCATCATCATTATGTATCATCATCATCATCATCATCATTATGTATCATCATTTATATATCAACATTTCGATGTCTGGCCGGGCGTCTCGCCCGGCCAGACGAGCCATCTAGCCTGCTAGGGCCAGCCAGCCTGCCCGACGTCAGCTCGGGCGGCCGCTGGTCAGCCGCTGCACGTCTTCATCTTCACGGCTCCGCCTGGCACGTTTTTCATACTGTTCACGTCCGAATGGCTGGGCTGGCCCGTGCGCTAATGTTTTGAGGGCTTGCGGGCGTGATCCGGACGTCCGCCTAAATCACACAAATATCATGTCGCCAGTGATCACAGCCTAGAGTTGCATGGCGCGTGGCGCTAGAGCTGCACTTCAGTGCGCATGGCCTCAGACGACAGCCCTTGGATCGCAGGCAAGGACAGCCTCGGTGAGTCCCGCCTCGCTGATGCCGCGTTGCCGGCGCGGCGGGGGGCGGGGTCGGTGCCTCGCCGGTGGGCGCGGACAGGGCCGGTCAGCCCACCATCAGCTCGGACAGTGACAGCCGCCGTCCATCCTCGCCGGCCGTCCCATCCAGCGCTCAGCTCTGACGGCATCATTGGCTGCATTGTACTCTGACTGGATCATCTGAAGAATGGCTGAAATATTGCACTGGGCCTTATGACTACAACGTTGGGATCAAACAATGAGGTGCTGGAGATTCTCAATGCACAGGTAATTCGTGGCAGCCGGAGTTGCAGATATTGGTTCTATTTGATGAGATGTCTGAGTGGATATTATATATCTGAATATATATATATATATATATATATATATTCACCGTGATATTCATGGATAGCAGCCTTCATACCCACGGTTATGGGCTTTTCGCGCGGAGGGTAAGCAGGGACAAAGTCGTCTGCTCCATTCACGATCGTGAACATGGACACCGAAAATCGTTCACCGTGGGCGGTGAGGTTTGCGAGCCGGGTTGAGCCAAAAAGATTTTTCTGCGTTGGTTCAAATCTTTCTACACGTCTTCAGATTTTTAAAAACCAAAAATGTCTTCCATTTTCACGAGCAGCGTCTTCTTTTTGCAGAGATCTAGAGTGTGAATCCGTGCTTCGACGCCTTCCGTGATGGCCGAAGCCTTCCATGATGGCCCGCGGCTCTGCGTCTTCCCCTGTCTACCGCTTGTTAGCAAATGCATGAACAAATGTCGCGGCTGCGCAAATCTGCGAGGGAAGATGGCGCCACGACTCCAATAACGATTTACGGTGCTCACAACAATGGATAGAATACAAAATCATCTTATTTTAAATTTGCGCTCCCAGTCAATAAAAAACGCTGTTGCCGTTGGGAACCAGGACACAGGCGCTCCTATATGAATGCGATCCATCACGCGGATCGCGGTTTGCCGTGTGATAAAATGTGACACTGTCCGTCGATGAGCTACGCGAGAGGGTCGGCTGGGTCACACGACGGCCAGTAGCGGCCGGCTCTTCCCATACGCACAAGTGCTAATGATCATCGGTTTTGACATATGGACGGAATAATAGTTCGTGCCATTACTAAGCATTTCAACCAGTTAATTCCCCTGCCGTATCTCGTGTCATTCAGTCCTGGAATCGCAGAGCGTCAGAACTCAGGAATCCTGAATGCGCTCGTGGCCGAAACGGTGTATGCATACCAACACACCACACGAGGATAATAATCCCAACATTATTCATCCGTGATGCTGATGCGTCGCCTCAGTCATTGCGGTTTTCACACACGTCATGCATGTCGTCACGAACAGAGCCGAGGCTCTGGTGATGCGTGCAGTGTTGATGCTTCGGTGGCCCATCAGTACCTTTGTTCGCTTCGGTGGCTCATTTGGAATGATTCGCATAACCATCAACATAAGCACGCAAGTGTTATATATTGCAGTGCTTCTATGTTAATTGCGCGTTAGTCGTTAATGCCTTTCTGCCACTCACCCATGGAACCTGATACTAACAGCGATACGGTGCGCCTGGCCTTTCATTCGGTGACGCATGAAACTGCGGCAATACTACATAGCTGCTGTAGCAGAGCGTGTTTTTTTATACCAAACGCTTGTAATCTCTGGCAGAAATTGAAAATTAATATGATGGCATTTCCGACCATTGTGACTTTGCAGCCCGGCTGACCAGATCACTGTTACGAGACTGCACGGCGGCCGCGGTAAGCCAGTGACTGGCCCAGCTCCACCATCCGATTAGCTCCGTACGCCAGCCGCCTCTGCGTTCAGCGGAGCGATGGTTTTATGACATGAGCCTCTCGCGGCTTTATTGTGGCACGCTATTTCGGTTCATTATGGCACTGTATCGGGTGCAGATATTTTTACAGCTGTAGGATGGTGTGTGCATAGTACACGGACGTAATGCGTGTGCAATGCATGCATTCTGTGATCGCGGGCTTTTATGCATGTGCTGGCGTGCTTGGCTTAGTGCGGAGATATTGCAGAGTAACCTTTTTGTGGTTTTTATTTACGTGACAGTAAACGTTAAGGTCTGATTATCATGTCAGCAAGAATAAGCTAACCACTGGCGCCGTTTGAAGAGCCGGATGAACGACGTCGCCATTGGTTTAGAGAACAATTCTAAAGTACCGATGAATGAATGTATACATCAGCCAGGACGTCCGCTGCGTGACGTCACACCACGCGCACACCCGTGCCAAAATACCGACCTGTCTGTCGTGACGGTAACGATAAGCTTCGTGAGCAGCATTGGTGGGCATCGACCACATCCTGTTGCTCACGTAGACCGCCTTTAACCGTTAATCCGCTGCATTTGGTCTTCACGCGTGTCTGGTAGTTAGCAGTGACGTTGGTTGTGCTGACGGCTGCCTGTCCATGCCAGCAGCACATGGCTTGCTGGGGTGCTGCTTTGAGGCATGCAATTTTCGCCGCATCAAGTATTGGGTATGGTGGGGGTAGCGGAGGGTGCTGCTATTTGCATCTTTGTCCTTCCCTTGCAATTCCAGGCCGAGACACGCCGAAACGCGGGTGCTCGGTTCCAATGGGATTTCACTATCCCCCACGGTGAGCGCCTTCATGCATGACGCTGTGAGGATTGAGTACCGGGAGCGCGTACTGAGAGGCGTCGACTGTATGGTTGGTGTTGCCCGGTCACCTGGCTCGAAGAGCGTGCAGGATGGGGCCGGGTGGGCGGGACCTTGGGCGGGGCAGGACGTTTGCTGATGAGCTTCCGTCGGCTGGCCGGCCCGTTATGGCGAGCACTAAGCTGGAGCGGCTATCAAGCAGGATCGTAAATCGATAAACTGGTGCAGACCGACGCGCCACATCGCCGTAAGATCTCACTAGCTGCGCTGTGACCGCCGCCGGTTAGCCAGGAGTCGCCAGTGGGTGGCGCGGGCGCGGGCGGCGGCGCCTCTCAGCGGTGACGCCTCTCAGTGGTGACGGCTGCCGTCCGTCCCGGGCGTTGATGGCCGCGCCTCTCAGCGGTGACGCCTCTCAACGGTGACGGCCTTCGTCCGTCCCGGGCGCGGGCAGTGGCGCCTCTCAGGGGTGACGGCTGCCGCCCGTCCCGGGCGCGAGCGGCGGCGCCTCTCAGCGGTGACATCGCTCAGCGGTGACGGCTGCCGTCCATCCTCCGCAGGGTGTGCTCCGGCGGCGGCGGCTGCTATGAGCCGGCCGGGCCGGGCCCGGCTCCTCTGTCATGCGCCGGCCGTCCGTCTCGCTGGTCGCCTCCTGCGCTGAGCCGCTCTCCAGCTGCCGCAAGTACGTGGCCGTCCGGCTGCTGACCCAGCAGCGACTCTACTTCACTATCGACGTGAGTACCAGCTCGGTGCCGTCCAGCCGCACGCACGAACACGTCCAGCCGCACGAACATGACGTTACGGCATTGCCGGACGATAGGCGGACTATTTCTGCGTGTGCCCGTAGAGCCAACGAGCAGGTACGAGGCGCAGTTTGTTGGGAAGTTTTCATGGCAGTTTCGCTTCTCGTCAGGGCACTGGCGCCCGAACACTGCATGTGTTTCCTACCGTATGCAGTAAATTTGGCAATATGCGCACATCCTTGTGCTAGGTTCAGACGCTATCGAATGTCATGCTTGTCGAAATGTTTTGTAGTTTCCCGTGCGATTCCAGTGACCTGGCCTGTTTTCCGCGCTTGCCTGAAACTGTTTATCATTTATTCAGTAACATGTGCGTGTCCAGACTTAGGGCATATGGTTCCTGATGCATTTTCATTTAGGAAGCTGAACAGACATACCAGCTTCTGTGCATGTTGTGTTTGCATACCCGTGTCGGTGTGCAGACACCTACAGCGGAGGTGGCACCGGTCCTTGTTGGCCGCCTCAGCTGTGATCCGAAGCTGGCGCGTGGGATCAAAGAAGAGACGACCCTTTGTCCTGAGCGCTGAAAGCTGCGGGGGACGACTGTGGCAAGAACCACAGCCGAGCCAAACGCGACACGTGCCGCACGTGGCCACGTCCTGCTGTCGGAGATGCCGCTGCGGCGCGAGACAGCCGAGCCAGACGCGACACGTGCCGCACGTGGCCACGTCTTGCTGTCGGAGATGCTGCTGTGGCTCAAGACGTGTCGGTCGACTGCGGCGGCTGGGATGTGACCCTCCACCGAGGCATGCCGGAGGAGCCAGCTGTTTGCAGTGACCCGGACTGAGGTCACCGCCGTCAGGCGGCGTCGCTCCGGCCTGGTCAGCCCTAGTCGGCCCGAGCACACACGCTCAGTGACCTGGGCTGAGGCCACCGCCAGCAGGCGGCGTCGCTCCGGCCCGGTCAGCCCTAGTCGGCCCGAGCACACACGCTCAGTGACGTGGGCTGAGGCCACCGCCAGCAGGCGGCGTCGCTCCGGCCCGGTCAGCCCTAGTCGGCCCGGGCACACACACTCAGTGACCCGGGCTAAGGTCACCGCCAGCAGGCGGCGTCGCTCCGGTCCGGTCAACCCTAGTCGGCCCGAGCACACACACTCAGTGACGTGTGCTGGGGTCACCGCCGTCACGCGGCGCTGCCGGGTCCGGTCAGCCCCAGTTAGCCCGGGTACATACGCTCAGTGACCTGGCCTGGGGTCACCGCCGTCACGCGGCGCTGCCGGGTCCGGTCAGCCCCAGTTAGCCCGGGTACACACGCTCAGTGACCTGGCCTGGGGTCACCGCCGTCACGCGGCGTCGCCCCCGTCTGGCCAGCCCTTGTCAGCCCCGGTGACACGGGGGTAAGGATCCAGATTGCCACCAATAATTCGTTGGCAGAGAGCGGGGCTTGAACGACGGCTTAAGTTGGAGCCGACTCCGAAATCGACCAAATATTCTTTTATCCAAGGTGGAATCGATTCCTTTGAAATCTATGTAAGACTTAGTTGGTGTTGGGCGATGCGTGTCGGCTGAAATCTGTGATTAAAAGTAAAGCTAATTGATACGTTTTTCTCTTATCGATCAAATGCACGTCCAACGAAAACTTTTACGTAGCCTTAAAACCTTATGTACGCCGAGCTCTTTCCACCAGATTCAGCTCCATCCCAAATCAATTCCGTAAGCGCAACACATATACGCGAATTGGAATCGGAGAAGACTCGAATTAATGACTCTGTTGTGCTGTGTTTCTCGGAGTCAGAGTAGGAACCAATCACATGCCTCGCGAGTCTGAATGTGAATCGATTCGAAATGAAAGGCGTGAGTCATGAAAGGCAGCATCAGCCACAAATCAGAACCAGCAGGCATGTTTCGTCAGTCACCGACGAGACATTTGTCTACAGTGCAGACCAGTCTGCGTGCCGTCACTTCCCTGCGCGTTGCGACTGTCCGCGGGATTGTCAACAATCACAAGGCCACTGGGGCTGACCTGATGCGCCGTACGCCTTCCCTGTGCTTCCCAAGTCAGTCTTGTACGCAGGCACGGCTTCAGCATTTAACCAGTGATATATGCCCGGTCAAACAAACGCGTGGGGCACTGTAGGTGCTGGCGAAGACTCGGCCAGTAGCCCTGTCTGCTGCCGGCGCCGGCCACGTCAGCGCGGTGGGGGCAGCGCTGGTGCCGCAGCGGCTTGAACCGGCGCAGCGCTGCGCCAGACTGCCCGGCCGCCGGCCGCCGGGCGCCGGGAGCCGCGCGCGGGCGCGTGCGAGCGCAGGCAGCGGGGCCAGGTGTTCATGGCTGGACGCATCACACGGCCGACCGACTCTGCGCTGAGACCGAGGATCGGTCACGCGTCAGCTAGCCCGCCGCCTGGCTGACGAACGAACACGCCAGCCTGTCCTGCCGCCCGAACCACCTGCGTTTCAGGCCTCCGCACGGAACGCTGCTCCTGTGCAACTAGGTTACTCTGTGTCCCTCTGCATTTGAGTCTACCGTGCGATAATGCGCCCGTCTAATCCCCGTGGGCCTGTCTGTTCCAGCCGAAGTGCAAGCTGTGTGAGCTGTATTCATCCGTAGCCGAGCAGATGTGTCTCCAGGGCATGCAGGACCCGGACCTGTTCGGACTCGCCGTGATCTTAGGTGAGCTCGCCGGCCGGCTGGTCAGTGCACCGTCACCCAAACGTCTGCCGCCGGGGTCAGCGGCGCCGCCCGCGCGTGCGCTGCGCGTCGGGCGGCTCTTGTGTCGCGGCCGCCCAACCGCGCCACGGTAGGTGAGGTACTCTCTCAGAGTGGCTCGGATGACAGATGCGCGCGGCCAAGTGAGGCGCGCCACCTGTCACCTGTGCCGTCACGGGCGGCTGCGGGCGGCACTCTGGCGTGACGGAGGATCAGTCCCGGTCGGTGGGGCTGCCGACAGGGCGGGGCCACTTGACGCTGGCAGGGCACGGCCCCCGAGGCCGACAGGGCAGGGCCACTTGACGCGAGCAGGGCACGGCCACCCGAGGCCGACAGGGCAGGGCCACTTGACGCGAGCAGGGCAGGGCCACCCGAGGCCGACAGGGCAGGGCCACCTGACGCTGGCAGGGTACGGCCACGTGACACCGACAGAGAAGAGGCCACGTGACACCGACAGGGTAGGGCCACCTAACACCGACAGAGGAGGGGCTACCGAGGCCGACAGAGCAGGGCCACCTAACACCAACAGAGGAGAGGCTACCGAGGCCGACGGAGCAGGGCCACCTAACACCGACAGAGGAGGGGCTACCGAGGCTGACGGAGCAGGGCCGCCTTACACCGACAGAGGAGGGGCTACCGAGGCCGACGGAGCAGGGCCCGCCTGACGCTGACAGAGGAGAGGCTACCGAGGCCGACGGAGCAGGGCCACCTAACACCGACAGAGGAGGGGCTACCGAGGCTGACGGAGCAGGGCCACCTAACACCGACAGAGGAGGGGCTACCGAGGCTGACGGAGCAGGGCCGCCTTACACCGACAGAGGACGGGCTACCGAGGCCGACGGAGCAGGGCCGCCTGACGCCGACAGAGGAGAGGTCGCCCTAGACTAGACAGGGCAGGGCCGCCTGAAGCGGATATGGTAGGGCCACCTAACGTCAACAGAGGAGAGGCCTCTCGAGATAGACGCGTTCGCCACAAATAATATTTGTAACGAGTTACTGGTGTTGTAGTTTGTATAATGGAGGTCGACCTAGCCTAGTGCGGGGGCTGTCCTTTTGTCTCGCCTTCCACTGCTCGTGAGCAAATGGCAGTGGAGACTCGAGTCCGGGTATGCATCACATTGGACGCGCGAGCCCAATTCCTGTGCAATTAAGATACGCCCATTCGCTCACAAGAATGGCCTGACTAGTCTTGGCTGATGCATTTTGAACTACACTTCACCGCTTCCAACAGATTGTGGTAGAGTTTGGACAAATGTGCGACACTTCAAGCTTACCCTGACCTTTTGAGGATTCTCTTCGCTCCCCGTCCTGTGGCACATGTCATCCGACCACCGTCAGCCGCTACGCGTCATCTCCCATGCAACGAGGAGTCGTGTGCGAATTGGGACCATTCGAGACCGAGACGCACGGCACGGCGGGTGCCGTGCGTCCCTGGGATGTGGGCGGCATCTCTGGGATGTGGCCAGTCACGTTGAGCCTGAACGGAACCACTCCTTACGTACTCCGCTGATGTCACGCAACAGCAACATAACATCGCCACAGTAACCTGCGGCGATCTTCACCCGGCGGGCCATGGGCACTGACTGGTGTCTTTCGAACTCGCCGCCAACCGTTCCCCATGGTCTGTTGACCTCACAGGTGTTGAGCTGTGAATGGTGCAGGCATCAGGTCATTGCAGCACGAGGGCCTGTTCGCTCGGTAAGCTGTGTGCGGTCACATTGCTGTGCGGCACCTCGTGTCAGGATCGTGCCCGTTGCTGGGATTTAGAAGAGGCGGCTGGGGCCGCACCGTTGCATGCCTCCCCGCGATTGGTGACGCGCAGTAGGTCTTCTGGTCCTCGTTCCGAAGTCGCCGGCCGGCGGCGCTGCCGCCCTGTCGCAGCCAGGCCGAACTTATCTCAAAACCTGAGTAATTGAAATTAATTGCCAGTACTGCATTTAATTATCTGTGCTTTGAAGAGTATCCAGTTTGTGGATTTATCTTTGGCTCTAAGATTTTATAGTGCTGTGAGATGTGGGGCATGATAAGTATTATAGTGAATTTAGACGACCCCCTTACAATAGCCATATACCTGATATTCGTTAAGCTGCATTTTTGTATGAACTTTTGGTTCAGCGCCTTGTCCACAGAATAAAATATTCCAGTATCTAATGGACACCAGATGCTAGCCAGAGTTGCCAGCGCGTTTTTCTCTCCAGCACACACGTGATCACATGACACACATTTCTCACACTGTGACCGAACAGATTTCAATAGATCACAGGCCGTAGGATGCACTAGCCTTGTGCAGATAAACACTACATTTTTCTCTAGGATGAAATATTTTTAGTTGGATTTGCTTAGATTTTAGCCACACAAAACTTTACCTGTCTCTGTCTGTACAAAGTTAGTGCATTTTATCACCTTTGGGTTACTGCGATTTGTGGCGTCGGGCCGGCGCAGGTGGCTGGCGTCAGCGCCACTGGGACTGGTGTGATCGCTCGCGGAGCGGTATCTGGAGACGAACCGGATCCTTGTGAAGACAGCGGCATACTCTCCCCCACCGTGTGGACACGTGGGTGCCGTAGGTGTGCCTGTGGCGGCGTCGGGTCGGCGCAGGTGGCTGGCGTCAGCGCCACTGGGACTGGTATAATGACCCCCGGAGCGGTGTCTGGACACAAACAGGATCCGCTTGAAGACAGTGGCCTGCTCTCTCCGACCGCATGGACACGTGGATCGGAGTGGTAGCTTGATGTGGTGTGGAGCTATGGTTCCAGAAGACTCATCCGTTTAACTTATTTTTCAGACGGCGAGTATGTGTTTGTGGACCCAGAGAACAAGATTGGGAAGTACGCACCGAAAGCGTGGAAGACGTCACAATCTGATGTAAGCAAAATCATGGCGCGCCACTCGACTGTCATTGACGAACACCTCCTTTGAGTGCAGTGTGCATCACAAAGCGGATATCTCCAACGAACTTCGGTTGGAATTTGGTTTCCACACAAATACATGACAGCCACCAATGATAAAGCGTCGAGCTGGCTCTTGCAATCTTTGTTGCAAAGTTCGTCGTTCCTTTTTCTTCGCTCGTGGTCCGTCGTTCATGACGAAATGCGCGGCTTTTTGGTAAAACTTTGGGCATTTTATCGCCACATGGCCGGTTGTGCCTGTTGGTTAGACACTCCAGCTCGTTCCCAATGCATGTGCAGCGCGGACGGGTTCTGCCGTTGCACCTGGTTACTGTAAACAAAAAGACCGTCGAATTTATGATCAGCCGAGCCGTGCTGGACGGCGTAGAACACGTTTTGGTGCTGCATCAAACGCAAAGCTTCTGTTGAAAGTAAGTGCCGTTGACATGGCCCGGCGCGGCATTACGCATTACTGCTGAGAGTATGGCGCCGCGGGTAAGGGGACGCTGAAAGCCCGGCGTTCTCAAGAAAGGTCACTTGCCGAGGTGGTTTGGGGGGGGGGGGACGCCGACGCGCTGGCCGTGGTGGAGATGGCGAGGAGGGTGTGGGATGGGTGCCGGCGCGCTGGCCGTGGTAGGGATGGCATGGGAGGAACACCACGCTGGCCGTGGTGGAGATGGTGTGGGAGGGACGCCGACGCACTGGCCGTGATGGAGGCGGTGTGGGAGGGACGCCGGCGCGCTGGCCGTGGTAGGGGTGACATGGGAGGAACACCGCACTGGCCGTGATGGAGGCGGTGTGGGAGGGACGCCGGCGCGCTGGCCGTGGTAGGGGTGGCATAGGAGGAACACCGCGCTGGCCGTGATGGAGGCGGTGTGGGAGGGACGCCGGCGCGCTGGCCGCTGAGCTCTGCCGCCAGGTCCGCGGCGGTCACGTGACCGGGCGGAACAGCCGCCGTGAGACTGGTTCGGGTACCGCACAGCGAGCCCAGGCGGCTGCACAAACTCCACATAACCCTGTGCCGTTTCTCCACCGTCCGGACGGGGAGGACGGCCGGCGCCGGACCCTCACATTGCGGGGAGATGATAGCGTTCATCTTACAGGCATGAGAAGCTTCGGTGGCACTCAGAAACGCCGATGTCCCTGGCCGCCGATCTTACCACATGGTAGTGCTTGATTTTCACAATATTTTCCTGTAAAATTGTGTGAATTAAGCCGTTTACGATCACTCGATCATGAAGCATTTAAACATGTTCACATCTGAGAGCTTGGGACATGGTTAACACAATATTTCCTCCCTACGAATCAGTTAGTTTCATTTTTGCCACCTGTCTGACCGGAGATATAAGCAATGTGTTAGTCCGTCGGGTGCGTTCAGCGAAAAACATGACGAATGTTGTAATCACACATGTTAACAGCATTCATGTAAGTCATAACCTGCCCCTGCCTATGCAAGGTTTTGTTGGCATCTGCCATTTTTAGTCTGTGAAAGGCTTCACGCCTATTTGATTGACTTACTACCTGGCAAGTCATAATGAAACAATGATCATGCCCATTCTCTAACTGTGCGCCTAGCGGCCATGGCATTAATTTGTCTGGCAACGCAACAACGACCAGTTCCGGCCCAGTGTTCCGACCAAACAATGCCAGCAATGCCAGCCGATTACAGTTGCGGTTAATATGCGCTGTCCTGTATGACTGGATGGCATGCTCGAGTTCAGGCGACCCATACACCGTCCAAATCTGGCTCGATATTCCAACCAACGATTCCATATGCATTCCAGAAATCGCGGTGGCGAATTTCTAAGTGCCATGTATGGGTGTGCTATTCGCCCCCCCCCCCCCCCAAGTGGAGGCCGTTGCCGTGGTTTTAGGCCATGCCTGATCAGTGATTGTCGGCATCGACTGATCTCTGAATAACGTCACCCGGAAAGCCGTGCCTTTCAAATTTTTGTCCTCTAATGACAAAAGTGATAAGATAACAGCCTGACTATATTAGATATCTACGGTTTGGCATTCAAGCAGCGCTCAACAAGGAAAAACAATCGGAGATATTCCTGATACAATAGCTATGCTCATATTCTTCGGTTGGGCGTCGTGTCGAGGCCGGTGAGAAAGCAACAGATACTTTCGTGCTGAATTGGGATTCGGTCAAGATCAAAGGAGCGTGACTTAATGCGGGAGCTTAGAGCTGAAGCCGCGGCGGAATCCCTCCGCACAATCAATGCCAGGTATCCACAGCAGCCCCAGCAGCCACAGCATACACAGCATCCATGGCACCACAGCACAAACGGCATCCACAGCACATGCAGCGTCAGGAGCATCCACAGCACACGCAGCATCCACGGCATCCAAAGCATCCATATCTCACACAGCATCCGCAACACCCTCAGCATAAGCAGCATTCACAGCACACGCAGAAGCCACAGCAGTCACAGCATCCACAGCACACGCAGCATCCACAGCATCCACAGCTCCACAGCATCCACAGCATTCACAGCGGCCGCAACAAACGCAGCACCATAGCAACCACAGCAGCCTACGAGTCCACCAGCCACTGCAGACATTTATCCAGCTGCGCTCGCTGAGAGCCCGATTTGCCAGCGTATGATTGGACCTGCTCATGATGACACCAGTCGGAATAGCAGAGACGCCCTTTCTCGCCCAGATGCTGCGCATGACACTACGCGACATCCGGTGGTAGAAGGACGCTGCTCTGCTCCCACCGCGTCCCACCAGGCGGTCTGCTCATCTCCCACCGCGTCCCACCAGGCCGTCCGCTCTGCGCTTACCGCATCCCACCAGGCGGTCCGCTCAGCTCCTATTGTATCCCACCGGTGTAACGCCTCGTGTTAAGAATGCCGTCCAATGCGACGCCTCGTGTTAAGCCGGCCCGCTCCAGTGCCGTCCACTGTGACGCCTCGTGTTAAGCCGGCCCACTCCAGTGCCGTCCACTGTGACGCCTCGTGTTAAGCCGACCCGCTCCAGTGCCGTCCAATGCGACGCCTCGTGTTAAGCCGGCCCACTCCAGTGCCGTCCAATGCGACGCCTCGTGTTAAGCCGGCCCGCTCCAGTGCCGTCCACTGTGACGCCTCGTGTTAAGCCGACCCGCTCCAGTGCCGTCGAACGTGACACCTCGTGTTAAGCCGACCCGCTCCAGTGCCGTCTAACGTGACACCTCGTGTTAAGAGTGCCGTCCAATGCGACGCCTCGTGTTAAGCCGGCCCACTCCAGTGCCGTCCACTGTGACACCTCGTGTTAAGCCGGCCCACTCCAGTGCCGTCCACTGTGACGCCTCGTGTTAAGCCGGCCCACTCCAGTGCCGTCCGCTGTGGCGCCTCGTGTTAAGCCGGCCCGCTCCAGTGCCGTCCGCTGTGGCGCCTCGTGTTAAGCCGGCCCACTCCAGTGCCGTCCACTGTGGCGCCTCGTGTTAAGCCGGCCCACTCCAGTGCCGTCCACTGTGGCGCCTCGTGTTAAGCCGGCCCACTCCAGTGCCGTCCGCTGTGGCGCCTCGTGTTAAGCCGGCCCGTTCCAGTGCCGTCCACCGTGAAGCCTCACTCACAGCTTGCCGACGCCGTGGTCTGTATGGCAGACAGGCTGGTTAGGTGACGGTTCGAGGTCACACTCCCAGCAGCCGTGCTGCCGTCCCGTTTGAGCGGTGTGCAGTTGTCGCCCCCCCCCCCCGCAACAGATGCTTATGTTTGATCTGTCCAGACAGCTTCCCTAGAACGGAAGGGGCTGGGTGCATATAGGTGGTTGCCACCCTGGGACGAGGGCGGGCGAGGCCCCTTAGGAAGCCGCGCCGAGATCAGGAGTACAGCTTATCATCAGAGTGTTTGTGCGGTATGCACTTCAAGGCAGTCTGTGCAGGACACCTGCCGTTGAAGGACATGTTCAACGTTTATGTGGGGTTTTGAACTGAAATGGCCGTCTTGAAGACTTTTTGGTGCAGTTAACAGCCCTGCCATTCTTGAGACCAAAATCCCCTTAGTTTCTGAGCTGCACGCCCGTGAAAATGGGGAGAGTATTTCGGGGAGAGTATCCCAAAGTCATTTTAGTCACAGCAATCTGCCAATTATTTGACCACCTGCGACGACCAGGGATGTTGTTGCTTCAATGACGGTTCATACGTTGATCCGGGGTGAATGGCGTGAGTCACAAGGCCTCCCGCGTCAGAGAGAGGACTAAGGTGAAATGGTGTATCCCTCTAAGGGGCTTCGGATCGGCTAGGGGATCGCGCAACAACGACGATCGCAAAATGATGTTTCCGAATTTCATTCAAAATCAAGCCGTAAGGTTCAAAGATTACACAGCGGGAATAATTTTTTGCAACTTTGTAGTTGTCTTCTGGACAGCTTAACACCTACAACAGCACGAAAATTGAAGATTTTAGCTTTACTCTTTCAGTTTCACCACCAGATTCGAGGACCATTTCGCGGTGCTGTACAGGCCAGTCTGTTATTATTATCATCAATCTAAAAATCGCATAAGTGAAATATACACCCGGAATATCTATAAATGTACAATTGCATGTCCAAAAGCGTTCAAAGGTTCTTCTTTCAAATGCATCATCATTTGCGTCCACCTGTTGGCTAAAGCCTAGTGTTGGCCGCGGGGCCGACGGCGAGCGGCCTGTGGAGAATACAACGTCTGGTGTCGAGGTTTTCGTTGCTAAGATATGCAGGTGCCCTTGCTCAAAATTGCGTTACATAGTTTGCATGACTAATCACGATTTTGGTTGAATGTGGAGCATATCCAGATAAAAATGACTTGGCCATGCTAATACAAATTTTTGAACCATTTGCTCTTTAAGCTATATTTGTGGGTTCTTGAAATCCTTGCACAACCCAGACAAAAATTTCAACACAGTTTCTGCGCTCTATATCGGATTAAAAAGTGTCCGCTGAACTATTTTCAAATGAAAAGTGCCATGGATTTATTTCATGTTGTCATTTAACACATGACGTTTTCAGTTTATTGACTATATAAACTTCAGGCAGAATTGATCTCGCGGTAGCGCCCGGCATCCATTTCAGTTGTAAAAGGTACAAATGTGTAAGATTTATATATATATATATATATATATATAAAGATATATACAAAAATATGCATATATATATATATATATATATATATATATATGTGTGTGTGTGTAGTCTACGAACAACATGCTTAAAAACATGCTTCCACTAACGCCATATCCGACATTTTTTGGGGGGAGGGGGGTTGGAGGGCCCTTTTACTATTGCGCTCCTGCGGGGGGGGGGATGGCGGAAAGGGGTATGGTGTTCTGTGATCTGTAGCGCTGCTGGCCGCGGTCAGACAGTTGGGTATCCTCTGCTCCATTGTTTTAAATAAACAGATCATGCATTGGGTTGCGATGCATTGGATTGCGACTTGCACATCTGTGATGATACCCAACCAGCCTAATGCACTTTTCAACACCAGCCACAGCTACACTGCGCCGGATGTTGCTGCTGTCCTGCATTGTTCGGAGGAGGGAGGGAACTAAATGATGCGACCGCATGGTGGACTTTGTCGCGTTCGGAATAAATATTCCCATCAATATATTTTTCAGGGTCTAGACGCCTCAAACCAGCCCCTACTTCAGTTCAGCCTACGGGTCAAGTTCTACGTGGAGTGTCACCTCCTTCTCAGGTGAGTGACATGGAGGCGACGCGTAGTTTTAGCTCGCGGTTTGCGGTTTGAGTGCGAACGAGCATTGTCTTGATCCGCTTTTGCTTGCTGTGATCATGAACTAAGGTAGATTAGTGTATTTCAAAACTTGTTTGCTTAAGGTCCGGGTCTAGTTCTCTGAATGCACCTTCCTTTCCTCGATGCATCGGTTTGTGAGGTTGCGTTGTCAACGCCATGTACATGTCACGGTGCGACGGAGTACTCCTAATTTCTCTGGGGAAAGAACTGTTCTTGAGCCCCTGCCCGGTAGGGTGAGCTCAGATTTGTTTATATTGCACCTATTGTCCAAAGCGCGAAGAGGCTGTGCATTGCGATGCGTGGTAACACAACCCAAATTAAAGGCAGTATCATACCACATTCTTTCAAATTATGCAGTCCAACTCCCAATGTATTGATAACTATTTTGTGGAAGGAAACCAATTTTTAAAAAAAATCAGAGGCTTGAAATAACAGTCAAGTCGAAGGCAGTGAAAAACCCATATCTTGAATTCTCAGAGAGACGACGGCGATCAGGATGTAGTCTGTGAGAACACATAGTCTGAATGACGAGTGAGGCTGACGGACTCCTGACGATCATGTTGTCTTCCACTTTGTGCAAAGAAATACTTAAAGCGGAACCCAACTTGATGTTGCACACGCCATAAACACGCGTGTGAAAAAAGTTAGAGCCTTACAGAAAAAAATTGAGCTCATTATGTGGCCAGCTGCAGCATACCGGTATCATTCATGTGGTATCTTTTGCTGTTAAAGACGTGGTCGCCTACCTTTCTTGTGGCTGTTGCTCCTCCTCTACTTTTTAATAGTCGTACGGTTTGGCTTTTACTCGAGTCGGTGTGAGGCTTGAACCTCATCGATATGCGTTGTGAAAGCGTCGTATTTGGATTTGAATTCAGTATCGCGCTTCCATTTACTTCGCATTCTTCGACTTACTTTAAAGCCAATTCGAATTTCATTTGTGAGTATCAAGATATTTACATGTACGGCTGTACAGCCAAGCTTCTTATTCAGCCCCATGCATGTCATTAGGAAGTCTTCATTGCGGGTCACAAATTTACCAGGTCACAGTCGGGTTATGCAGCGAGCGGTTGAGGAAGAACAACTGATGAAGCGCGATGACGCTTAACTAAGGCCTAGGCCAGACAAATGCTTGCTCTCGACGGCAGTGGGTGCATCCTCATGTTCATCCCTACGCGTTATATGCCTGCGACACCAGGGGACATCGAATTTATAGGTGTGGAAACTAATGCGCAGATGAACGAAGTAAAACAGTTTATTTCATGACATCTAAAAAAACGCGCTTGTTACGTTTTCAAACGCCTTCTTGCATCTGATGTTCCTGTCGAGATACGGCAATGTTCTCACCCACACCGAATCGGCTAGTGCGCGGTGACTGCGGCGAGTTTGCGCTGCGCCGCGCGCCGCCACCGGGCGGCACCAACGACACCCAACCGGAAGTGCTTCACTTCCGGTCGGGAAGTGAGTCGGCCGGTTGGCGGGCGGCGCCAGAGTCGCTGTGGGTCAGCCTCCCGTCCCGCGTGGCGCGTGGTGGGCAGGAGCATTAGACCGCGGAAGGCCGTTGGTGTCTGGAACGGCAGCACGAGATCAACTTGAGTGAGAGAAAGAGACGCGGCATCGAGTCTTATCTCATGTCGTGGAGCTTCGTGGAGCTTGTCAGCAGAACCAGTCGATCAAATTTGTGCATTGCGCATCACCTTGCACTAGCACTTCTTAGAGCGTCTTGTAGTTACCCCCTTTTCACGCAAGCATTACTAGACAGGGGCATGATTTGGTACCACGCCTGAAATGCTTGACAGGATGGATACGAAGGGATATGATGATGTTTTGCGGTATGGGTTATCAGCATGGCTGTAACTTTAACGCGATCAACTCACCCCGGAGGCGTTTTGTATCATTATCATGCACATCTTCGTCATTTCCAGTGTGTGATGGATGCTCCATGGGTTGTTCCCATGGGTCAAAATACACAGGCGTGATGTGGCCCACTGGAACGTGATGTCTCAACAAAATTACTTAAAGAATAATGTTTACAGGATATTAAACCTGACAACATATTTTTGATAGACCTGACGAAAAGCCATGAGTTGCGGCACCTGTGCGTCCCATGTTCCGTTAGTTTTAGAACGAGGTGTCTGTGGAATGCGGCTGAACTAAATTAGGTACCAGTCGAACAAACGCTAGCGTGGAAAGGGTGTTACATATCTTACGTTTCATCATGCATCCAACCTTCTTTCCTCAATCTTGCTCTATCCTGCGACTTCGTGGCGCCCCGTTTGCCCGGGTCAAACTACATGCACGAGCCACGAGCGCGCTAAGGTGCCCCTGGTGGTACCAGGCACCCCCAGTGCCCCATCAGAGCGCCGAGCATAGAGCTCGTATGGTGGCCCCTGCGCACTGTGCGGGCTCAGTTTCGGCGGAGGAACCCCCAGGTGTATATAGCTTTGTTCCACCACTATCTGCTCTCGTTCAGGCTTCATGGTCCTGAAGTGGTCACAACCGGTCGAATGGGCTCCAATCCAAAGCAAACCAAAAAGTGTCATCAGGAAATATGCTGAGGGACCGAAACATCAGGACATAAAGATATTTCTGTCTCACAGCAGGGCTTTCACTTAAGTGATTGTAACTTAAAACTATGTCACCTTGCCTTGTACGTGATCAGCCTGCACAGATCATCTGGCGTGCAGACGCGCTGAACATGGAGTGGAATATGTCGTGTGTATTTTGTATACAATTGAACCCCTACCCAGCGTTTAGTTGACAACTGTGGATGGATCCTAGAACCAAAGCCACAAGGCGCAGTCGAGGGCGACACTTTCCACAAGGATGATTGGGGTGCGGGTACACTAATGAGTACGTGTTGGACTTTTGTGGCAATTCACCCCATGCAAGGATATAAGCCTTATCTAGTAATCCCAAACAGGAGTATGCAACGTAGGCACTCCTGCGAACAGTGATGTTTTTAATTTCATTGTTTCTCACGCAAGGATACCGAAGCAATGCTAGACTTGCTAAAAATTCCGCTCCTTGTATGTGCCCGTTGAGCCTGGGTCAGCTTGCACCCACTGCGTGGTGCCCTCGGGCCGTCCTCGCAGGGGCGTTGTCAGCATTGTGTGGGTCAACCCTCCTGTCTGGTCAGCCGGGCCACCCGGCACCGCTGTGTGGGCTGACCTTCCTGTCTGTCCCTGCAGGGACCGGGTCACCCGGCACCGCTGTGTGGGCTGACCCTGTCTGACCATCCCTGCATGGACCGGGTCACCTGGCACCGCCGCGTGGGCTGACCCTGTCTGTCTGTCCCTGTGGGGACCGGGCCCCCCGGCACCGCTGTGTGGGCTGACACTGTCTGCCTGTCCCTGCAGGGATCAGGTCACCCGGCACCACTACTACCTGCAGCTGCGGGAGAACGTGCTGGCGCACGGGCAGGCGTGCAGCCGGGAGTTGTGCCTGCTGCTGGCCGGCTGGGCGTTGCAGGCTGACCTCGGCGACCGACCACTTCACGCCGGCACCCAATACTTCCGGCCGGCCGACTACTTCCCCGACTGGGTACGCGTCCGCTCACAGACAGAGTGGTAGTGGTGGGGGGCGTCTGTTTCTGTCCCGCTCGTCACGCGTCCGCCGGCGTGGTCTCGTCGTCCCGTGTTTAGGCGCTGCGCTCGCGCATGTCGGCCGGAGCTGCAGAGCGTTTGTGCAACAACGGGGCAGCGCATGCGAGTATTGTGGCTGCATTCCTGGAGCAGCCACTCACGTGTTCATGTGGCACAGTCTGGGGTATTTCGCCATCCGCGGCAGCCTAGAGAGGGCTTGATTTTAACTTCTGCTTCTCGGTATTTCAGGATGTAATCGTCGGACCGAAAAAAACTCAAACGACAGTCGAGAGCCCCGGTCGATCTTCCTGAGAAATTTTTCTATTGACGTCCATCACTGATGACGACCGCTGATGCATCCCAAATTTTCAAATGATTTCAAGGACCTCCACCCTCCTTAATATTGATTGAGGGGCTATGTGACCGGAATCAAACGGACGAGCGCGTATTCTTGCGTCGCATAGCTACGCATAGTTGGTAAAGTGGAATGCTATAATACTAAAAACGGTAAGCGTTGAGGTCGTATCATATCACGTCATGGTTATGCCAAGTCCAGGTCTTGTTATCAGATGTAAAGGATTTTCGCACTCATCCGGTTAAAATGCTATATAGAAGCCATTGGTATGGAAATGCCTCAGTTATACCAATTTGTTAACCACAATTGGGCAACACAACTTACGTTGCTTTAACACCTGTAAGATGGCCTAACATGATCTCGAACGGTGAACCGGTGTGAAATGGTGTGGCCGACCGTTATTAGAGGCACTCAAGCTAGCGGAAAAATTGATTGATTACATTACAAAGTAAATTAACCACAACTGAAAGGGAAAATTGAATTAGTTAAGGTTTATTAAATTATTTAACATTTAACTCGATATTAATTAGTGTTGAATAAAATAGTTCATAATTTTTTGATGCAATGTTACTTAACTTAATTAGTTAAGAACAACTTGAGACTTAAAATGGAAGTCCAGAAAAACAAAGGAAATTGTGAATCGCTGCTCGCGGTTGTGACGTCACAGCTTGCGACTTGACCTAGTATCAAAAATTGTGATGCCCAGGAATATGCGAGGTTGATTAAGTGCCAGTTGCTGAAAATTTAGCGCACCTACCAGCTGGAGCCAGCATTTTTTTTCTGTAAACATGGAGGAGGCTGCTTTTCCCTTTTTCGAAAGCCTCCTCCCTTGCTACGCTGTGCTAAGCGCTGTGTCCCAAACGTAACGTCCGTTTGGCCCCTAATTGAGTTAAAGATTAGAAGTTAACCGTGTTTGGTTTGGGGTTTTAAACTATTAGAAACTATTTCAGCACGATTTACAACCTTGCTTAATGACCAACATCTACCGCACCTAATAACGACACCTTTTAACTAATACCTAATAACCGCTCCAACCACCCCAACCACCCCAACCACGTCACAGCATGATGCGATATTCTCGCGCCATCATTGCGATTTGATTAGACTCGAACAAAAAAAAACTCCTTCCCTCGTGCAAAATGTATTTATGGACGGCCTCTGGTTTGCCAGGACTCACTGGGGCCACCAATAAAGCCACAGAATATCACGCGGAGCACAGAAATCGATTATCATGCTCGGGGACTAGGAATGGGCTTCACTCAATGTTCACACCCATGCTTTAAGCGAGCATTTGCGCAAAGCGCATGTAGGATAAGTGGCCTGTCCGACACTGGTATGGCAGACTTCAGGAGAGTCTGTGTGGTGCTTTTGGATGTAACCGGCAAGTTAAAGCATTAGTGTGACAATTGATCATTTCAGATCATTCGCTCATCATTACCATCTTTATGGTTTTCGCTGGTCGCTCATTATGCTGCAATGTTGCTGCCCAGTTTTTGGCATGAAAAAGGATCCTGTTGGTAGCTGTTGTTACCAGTGCACGTTAATGAACGAAGTGTTTCATAGCACGGCATTACGGTGATATCGTCCTGACGGCAACTTTGGGAATATTTCCTTCGATTACTGCGTTGCGTGTAATTTGTGTGTCCGTCTAGTTGGCACTTAATTAAAATGTGATAAAAAACTAAATGGCACTTAATTCAGATTTGCACAAAACTGGGGGACGTGTCCGTCTAGCTGGCAACAGATGGGATTTAACCCCCTTTAGGGTAGGACATAGCATGCGTGTTTTCACGACAATCGTTTAAAGAATAATTTCAGGTCTGGCTGTCTTCTCCAGATTCTAGTTTGACCCCTCCAATACGGATTCATTCTCTTAATCTTGCATACATGGTTACATCCATGGGTTATTGTTTGGGTGGAAAATGTTAGTTTTGAGTCGCACCACCCTCGTTGCCCCGCAATTCATTTTAAAAAGTGGACCCAGCCCCCATATCAGCCTGTTCTGGCTTTTCGAAGCGCTTTGGCAGGCAGCTCAGCTGGTGGTCCGTCTGGTTTTGCGAAGCGCGGCTCCCGTCGTCTCCCTGTTCAACATCAGCTGACAGGCCGCCTGCTGTCGGCAGCTGATTGGTCAGGCGGGCGCCGAGTCCATCCTGAACAGCACGCCAGCCGTACACCGGCACAACAGGGGCATGTCCAGCGCGCAGGCCGAGCTGGCTTATATCAGGGAGGCGTCGGCGGTCGAGGCGCCCTTCAACCTGCACCTGTACCGGCTCAGGCGCCGGAAGTCGGACACTTCCGGCTCCGTTCTGCTCGGCATCTGCCCCAACGGCGTGGAGCTGTATCAGGTATGGACGCCAACGGTGTCGGCGCTACTTTGCCAGCCTGTCTTCTGACGGATGTAGGATCAATACAGAGTGTCCATTTGCTAATCGTGCGCTAGGAAGATGATTGCGTGCTGGATTTGGCATAGGGCACAAAGTTGTGCAAAGTTTGAATTTATAGAAGCTCTCTGAGTCTGTTTTCGCACAACCCCAAAGTTGTTAATGCGCCGCTTTTGTGCTATTACCGTCCATTAAATAAGTCTTGGCGTTATCACTTGAGCCATCGCCTTTGGTAAGCGGGCTGGATGAAGGAGTTCGATGGGGGAAAAGAGCCTAACTAGCGTCAGTACTCCGTGAATGACGGTAACTATAAGAATATAATAGTCAGATGCGATGCATTTCGTTAGGCGTCATTTTATTGCGTCATTGCATCCTGATTCGTCAGAAAAGTATCCAAGAAGTTTAAATTATTTAACTCGGCTCGTATTATCTAAAGTAGCCAGGACAAAATGGGGATGCTTGAACTTCGTGAGGAGTGGTCCATCCGGAATGGCCTTGGTGCTTGTAGGCTGCTTTTAGGTCCAATTGTGGAAACGCATCAATTGAAGACGCTTCTATTTGTTTAATTTTTCAGATTTCTAAGGCGTGACACATAAGGTTATTACATCAACCCCACAGCATCTATAATTCATGATAAAAAATGTGGTCCAATGCTCGGAAGCTATGATATCGTTAATATCATAACATTTTTGTTCTTTTTTAAACACAGCGTGAGCCTACCGTTTTCTTTTGTTTGTGTACTCATAAAGTTATTTATCTAGTTTTTTCTTGTCTTTATGAAGTTCAAAGCTTCTTATACTTTTGTGGAGTTTTAAGTCCGGTGTATTTATAAAGTTATGCCATGCAAATGCACACGGGCAGTGACGCACCTTTGCTACATCGTTTGTTTACTTCGTGCAACCAAGGCGCGATGACTCTCCAGGTAATTCCAGTAACGGGGTGACTCAATCAGGTAACTACATGTTTCCAAGCGAAATGATTTATCCTTTTTGATGATCCTGCACCCCTTGTGCTACCCGTCCTGCAATGACTCGCTTTTTCCTAGACATGCTAATACCCCGAAGTGTGCATATTTCAGTGTTTGTTTGCACAAGGGATAAGGCTAGATGACGGACAAAATGAAACAGCTCCCTACTTTGGAAAGCGTAACTGACTACCAGGCTGCACTAACGATAAATGAGCTTAAATGATGGGTCCGTTCTAGGACGTCGTGTGTAACACAAGATACTTCAGAAATGGCCCAAGTTTCTCCATCGTACCCTTTTGCGTGCTGTTCTTAGTGCAATTTTCTGTGCGAACGTTAGCACCAATAATTTTGCGATTGTAAATGCACTTAGAGTCATAATTACAGCTAGAGTAGTGAGGCCAACCGTCCGCGTCAAGGAAAGCTAAAAATCCAGGTTGCGGATGCGGCGACGGCGGTCGTGCAGTTTTCAGAAGTCTAAGCATCTGTCATCCAGAACACCCTCAAGACATGAATTGCACAACTTCTGTGCATGACAGTGTGTCGCGAGCCGTGTGCTTGTTGGTGACCCGTTTCAGATGTTTCGAAAGGTCCACAGGAATGCGACCAATCTGTTTCTTGCCTTTGTGCTCGCGGATTAAGGTTAACTGCATGGACGCACGGCTTGCTGTCACACCATGACATAGCGGCATCAAAGTGTCGACTACTTACCCCTCCCTGGTTTATGTAACACAATGCAAAGAAGGCGGCAAGCACCGGAGAATCCGAGCGAGGCGGGACCGGCGGCGCCGCGCCGTCCGGTCCGTACCGAGTCCGACGCGGGGGCAGGCGGGCAGGCAGGCTGGCCGACCCGGCTAGCCCGCCGCGTCCGCCGCAGGCTGGCGCCGCTCCCATTCCTCAGCGCTGGCCGGGGAGCGGAGCTCGGCCGACCGCCGTCCATCTGGGTCAACCCGCGCCCGGCCGCCGCCGGCCAGCGGCGAGCACCGCACGGCGGCCGGTTCGCCGCCGTGCCGCAGTGGTCGCGGTCCGGCGGGGGCTCCCAGCGACTGGACACGATCCGGCGGGGCCTCCCACCGACTGGACACGGTCCGTGGGGCCTCCCAGCGACTGAACACGGTCCGGCGGAGGCCTACCAGCGACTGGGACACGGTCCGGTAGGGCCTCCCAGCGCCTGGACACGGTCCGGCGGGCCTCCCAGCGACTGGAACGCAGTCCGGTGGGGCCTCTTAGCGACTGGACACGGTCCGGACACGGTCCGGCGGTGCACAGGGACTGGGACACGGTCTGATGGGACACAGGGACTGGGATACGGTCTGGTGGGACACGGGGATTGGGACACGGTCCGGTCGGTACAGGGAATGGGCCACGGTCATTTCGATGGTATCCAGGGATCGAAGACATGGTCTAGTAATGTCCAAGGATCGCCGGCAAGGTCTGGTGGGATCTGGAGACCGAAGAAAAAGTCTGATGGGGTCTGGAAACCAATGACACAGTCTAATGGGTCTGGAGACCAAACAAACGGTCTAGTGGGGTCTGGAGACCGAGGCCATGGTCTAGTGGGGTCTGGAGACCGAGGCCATGGTCTAGTAGGGCCTGCAGACGGAAGGCACAGTCTAGTGTGATCTGGAGATCGATGACACGATATTGGAGGGGGGGGGGGGGGGGGGGTGGGGGGTGGAGGGTCTGGAAGCCGAAACTACGGGTCCCCAGCAGAAACAAGTATGGTCTGTTTGTGTTGCATCCTTGTTGAACGAACATTCTTGTTCACAAGATAACACAGCATACTTAGTTCTGCATGCTCAGTAATGGGGAGGAGGACGTTGGGATCAGGGGTCAGGCAAAGCACTGCCTACTGCGGCGTGCTTCACGTGTACGTATGTATGAATGCATGCATGTATGTATTGAGCATGTATGCCATTGAATGAATGTGTCGCAACATGAGATCGTCAAGAGTCGGCATGGGCGACAGACGAGGGAGTGACCGGGACACGGGGCGCAGCCGGCTATCCCTCATGTGAGCAAACCTCCATGTTACCATAACATGGAAGAGGATAAGCTTCCGCCTCATGCTACCATCTTGTCAGCATTGACGTACGTGTGTTGCCGTCATGTTACAGACCCGTTGTCTTTCGCCTTTTCCATTAGGGTCTTGTGCCTTTGAGATGGTTTTCTTTCCTTACAGGAGGAGAAGAACAGTGTTAGAAAGCTGATTGCGTCTTTTATCTGGACAAACATCGGCAGGCTCGGCTTTGAGGTGAGTCAGTTGTTGCACTGCGTTGCCGTCTCGACATGGTTCTCTTCTCGTCAGTTACGCGTAGCTCTAACAAGAAGCGTTGTACCGTCTGGCGCGTGTCAAAAGCAGTGATGTCTTAAGAAAAGATGTGACTTGTAATATACCTGTGGATGCTTAAAGATGGATGTAAGACTGCTTGCTCTTCGCAATGCAAGTCATGTCGCACCCTCAAGTTATATTAAATGTCAAGGCGCAAATGAAAACTGTAATCGTTGAACCCTCCCGAATCCTTCACACATATGGCAAAAGTAAGTTGCGTACTATGCATTCAAACATGCAACCAAAAGAGACTGAGTTCCTCGTGCCCAAAGCGTAACCAGACGGAAGCTGGGAGATGAAGGCACATACTGTGCGCAGCGGCGATAGGTGTCGAGAAGCGTGACGCATTCAGCAACAGTATGAAAGGCAGACACATGGCTTACAGCCATGGTCTTTAGTGGTTATGATCTGTTTAAATATGATCTTATCTTGGGTCATGCAAGGCAGGGAAACGTTCACGAGAGATGAGCCTTTTTACGAGCTGGTTTCTGCGATTAAAATGTTTTCTCCAAAGATTTTGGCAGTTCTTGAGTCGTACCTCTCCGAATGATATGATAAGGAAGTTCTATCTTAGACCATTACCAAGCACTGTCACCCTTATCGTACATCATTTTGCCACATCCTGCTTTGTTTCCAGAAAAAGAAGTTTGAAATCAGTGCCTTGACTCAGAAGTTCACTTTCTACACCACGGACGACGAGAAATCCAAGCAGCTGTTCCACCTCTGCAAGGAGACCCACCTGTTCACGCAGTCAGCTCATGACCGGCTCGCCCTCATCCAGCAGCGTTCAGAAGAAGGTGCGTACGGCGGCGGACTGTGTTTGTCACGTGTGGTGGACCGCTGTGCTGGTACAAGCCACAGAGGAAACGGCCCTCGTCAGCCCAGTGTTGCTGGCACGACCCCGCTCTACCGACTCTTCCCTCGCCGGACCAGGTGGTCGGTCTACCGACTCTTGCCTTGCCGAACCAGGTGGTCGGTCTACCGACTCTTGCCTTGCCGAACCAGGCGGTCGATCTACCGGCTCCTGCCTCGCCGAACCAGGCGGTCGATCTACGAACTCTTCCCTCGCCGGACCAGGCGGTCGATCTACCGACTCTTGCCTCGCCGGACTAGGCGGTCGATCTACCGACTTTTCCTCGCCGGACCAGGCGGCCGATCTACCGATTCACCCCTCGCTGAACAAGGCGGTCTATCTACCGACTCTTCCCTCGCCGAACCAGACGGTCTATCTACCGACTCTTCCCTCACCGGACCAGGTGGTCGATCTACCGACTCACCCCTCGCTGAACAAGGCGGTCGATCTACTGACTAACCCCTTGCTGAACGAGGCGGTTTCACAGCCTCCACCAGAGTTTTTTTCTAGAATAAGTCATGAATGCATTATACTTAAATTTTGTTAGCTGAGTATACCGTGTTTTTACACACTCGGTGGAAGTTCGTGTTCCCGGCCATTCATAGTTCACGAATTGTGACATCTTGAGATCTCGTCTGTTGCATTTTGCGTCCAGGCATCCGGACATGCAAGTTTGTCGTAAAACGTGTGCTCTGAAGGCTGAGGGCGTGCATGCTTTACGATTCTACACGATGATTGTGAAGTGATTGGAACCGAATCAGCATCCAAATCAATTATAAAAAATCATGGCGCGGTCCCCAATGATTCAAAATAATTGGGGACCGCGCCATCATCAAAATGAAACTTAGTTTTTAAAGTGGTTTAATTTAAATGTTTTGAATAAAACGGTATCATTTATGCGGACTGAATCAAGCGAAATAGAGTGGGGGTCATGATTCGATTTAGTGTGATAAGAATCACAGATTTTGCTACTTATTTTTCTGTAATAGCACACCATACAGCACCATCGTTGGAATTTGAGAAACTTGTTGCACCCAGTGATCGTGTTCTGTAAAGTTTCAGGACGTGTGCATCTGCACCACAATGTATTATGCAAATAATGATGTGGCTCTATTCATGTATGTGAAGGAAATATATATATATATATATATATATATATATATATATATATATATACATGTATGTATGTATCCTTCAACACGCCAGGCGCTCGTCGATGAATTGTCAGTTTGTTGCAAAACTTAATTTCATCACGGCATAGATAACTGAAAGCTTTGCGCGCTACACTTATTCAGATGCCTCGTACACTTTAAAAAATGTTGGTAATTTTTTGTTTTCGTTGCTTAATTTCATTGCTCGTTGCATTGCTTGTGTCGCCGCGCTGCGCCGGGCCACCGCCACGGCCGCACGTCACACACTGCGCGAGCTGACGTCAGCAACCGATTACGTCCACTTGAGAGCTGACGTCAGCAGCCGATTACATCCACCCGAAAATCGGCTTTTGGAACGCTAAGCGACGCCGCGCCCCTGACGGGAGCTGGGTCTGGCTGGCAGAGCGGCGGACGCCGGCGAGCTCGCTCCGGCGCCCCCGTGACCTGCGCCCGGGCTGGGAGTACCTGCAGACGTCGGCCGGCGACGCCGAGCAGCGGGTCTCGGTCGTCTCCAGCACCTCGTCCAACGCCACGTCCGGCGTCGTCTCGGACCGGACCGTGCCGAGCCTGGACGACAGCGACGGTGAGTGTTGGCTCGTCCGGCCGTAGCGACACCGCCCCGGCCCGAACACCGCCGCCACGCCGTGGGTGCGTACGTTGAGATGCCCTTGTTAGGGTGTGTGGGACGGCTGCTGCCGATCTTGACAATGCCTTGGTATGCAGCGCTGAACAGATTTTTGATATTACGAACTGTCGGGGAAGCCACTGAGTCCTCAAGCAAGTGAACCTGTGGTGAGCGGCTTACAACGACCGAGGGGCTGGTGGCAAGGAGGCACCAAATAAACTTGCCGCAGTCCGGGCCGTTTTGCTGGTCCTGGGCGGTGAGTCAGGTGCGGTCGGGTATTTACAGATGACCTGCAGGCGGAGCTGCTGGCCGGCTGCGGGGCGGCCGAGTCTGCCGAGAGCGGGGTGGACTCGATGACTCGCTCCCGCTCGCAGCTGGACGCCGCCTCCCCGCGATCGTCACAGAGATCCTCCGCCGGTAAGTCGGCACTGAGGCTCCCACAGCTTTGGAAATTAGTCTCAGCTTTCTGTGCAGTCAGTTGAATGTTGAATTGAAGACGTTCGTTCCACTCCGGATCAGCCAGTCCGCGGCTGCACCGGACCGGAGGCACTGGCCACATTGACAAACGCCGTCCTGAGATGCCCGTGACGTCACCAATGGACGACTGAATCTGGTGCAGCACGGGGTAAGACCCGTCGAGACGTGGCTATGACGTCACAAGCCACTGGCTCGGGATGATAACTGTCGGGAACGACGGACCTCGTGTCATTTTTTTGCACAATGCGTAGACAGGAATGTGACGGAAGCTGTTTCGCAAGTCGTTGGCGCTTCCGATATCGCAATTCCGTCGTCATTAGGGCTTTACGACGCACTCAGCTACTGAGTGCATGTGGCCTCGTCTACCTCTCACCCTGACGGGAAGTGTGGACACCGCGAGGAACCGAACCCTGTACGATTGGTCATATCATAATTTGTATATGTAGGCGATATCATGACTTGTCACCCTTCCGTCACTTCTACCGCTACATGGACAGCAGGCTGACCCGGTTGACGATATTCAGAGGTGTCTGTTTTTTTACTCACTGACGCCCAGAGGCTGTTTTTCCCCGAACTTGTGGCAGTATACTAGCTAAGCATTGATGTTAGTCTGCCAGCGCGGCTGATGTGGTAGTGGTCTGTCATTTCGCTGTCACTTGACACCGACTAGGTTCAATTATCCAACACTGTCGCCGCTACCACCATCTACTTCCAGCCATTAACTAGCACTGCATAACTTGAACGCCAAGTTATTGATCGTACCTCTTGATTCCGAGTGAGGTCGCAGGTTGGGCGATCCTCACTTGAGCCATGTATGATGCGACTTTCAGCTTAAGCGGCCCGGCCCGGCACAGCCCGGCCGTTGTGCTTCCTTGGAGTTGACGCATTGGAAGTCACTCATTGTGGGTTCATGCTGTATGGTCGGACAAACTTTTCTTGCAACATTGTAATACGAGCACGATTCCATTTCCCCATTCGGATAACATGAGAAAGGAAAAATTGCCGCACGGAGAAAACCCTGAAGGACTATGGGTGAGCCACGCTAAACCCGACTCAGATCTCACCGACCCATTGTCGCAGTGCAATGAGACCAACAGATTCAGACGGAAGAGAAAAGGGACAGTCGTATTGGCCACGACATGGGCAATGTGCCGATGTGGTCACGTGCTCTCGTGCGCCAATCATGGATCCTCCCGTTTTGGGGTGTTTTGGGGGTTGCTGTTGGATCTCAGCAGCAAGGTTAGATCGATACGTGAACTCAGCTGCACGGTGCGGGTGAATGTATGATGCTCACTGGCCGGTCTCATAACTGCCCCACCTGTAGTGATCTGGTGTGACCGTAGTGCGGTCTTGTGATCTAGCGACTTGTTAGTGACCAATGATCGACCGGAAAGCGACTTACCTTTTCATCCTGTTCGAAACTGATCTCGAAAGCCTGATGGATATTTTGGGTCTGGAAACTACACTGGTTATAGACCTGTTCGTTGTGAGCAACGTCCACCAAAATATTTTCGTTTTCCCCAATATTGTGGCCATGATTACAAAAACCGTAAACTACCGCACACTTCTCGATGCACGCACGCACGCACGCACGCACGCACGCACGCACGCACACACACACACTCCCACCCACACACCCACACCCACACCCACACCCACACCCACACCCCCCACACCCCCTCCACACACATACACGCACGCATACACACGTTGTTCCTTTAGTGATATAGAAGAGATTTTTTGGCAAAACACGTCCAAGCTAAAATCGAGGGAGGTGTGGACCTCGCCTGTATGTTTGAATGAAGCATCATGTGTGGTGCCTATTTCCTTGAATTCGTTTACATGTACACGTATGCTCGCGGACTCTAGTCCTTCGATAGGCACTGTATCGTGGTAATGGCTTGAAATCGCTCTTGGTTTAATCACCGGAATGCTGGTGTCCTGTAAAAACTGTGGCATGCTGTTTAAAAAAAAAACACCGAAAAATCGAGTGGTATCATCAGCAGGCAATTTTGAATTCACTTCTGCTATTGTTTCGATAAAAGTATGCTGCCGACATATCGACTCAACCATATTTCCATTCCCCTTTTTTTCCTCGAGGAAGAAGGTTAATACTAATGTCTGTTGTTATACTGTATGATTTCAAGTGTTGTGGAGGACATGGGTGTGAGTGATTTTGGCGATCCGTTCGTGGGTGGTGGGTGAGCAAGAAGGCAAACACCATAGTTTTATGGAAGGGTTGCGACGAGACGTCAGTTTCACTGATGAAACAATAATACGGACTGTTGTCCTCGTCTGATGGTATGAACACGTGCTCGTACTGTTTTTATTACGGGGTATTTCATTTTGAACTTTGACTTTAATAAGGCGATCATATTTATGTACAAAATCTCTTGAGAAATGTCCTTGTTTTACAGACATTTCAGCATTTCGACACTTACGCCAATCAGTGTTTGTGTGCCTAAAAGCGGCCCACGGCAGTTCCATGAACACGAGTGCACTTCCAGAATAACTCACACCCGCTAGAGCTTTGCGGATGACGCGTCCAGCCGCTGAGCTCGGGGATGAAAGCCTGTATCTCCAGCTCCCAAACCACGATGACTGCGTGGAAGACACTAATCTAAATGCCTAGCAACCTTCAACAATATTTGTCAAATAGGTTGTGCTTGGTCCTTTTTTGCCGCCCTTAATTGCACTGTTGATACTGATATTTCAAGTGAAACTCCCTTCGTACAAATATACATATATATATATATATATATATATATATATATATATATATATATATAAAGTATTTACGCCGGTAGATGCTTGCACACCAGACAAGGACAAAAGTCCGAACAATTATCCCATCTGTGGGCAAACATTGCTGTACGGTGTGATTTACTTCACTTTGAAGTGGAACGGCTGTGCAGTTCGTTCTCCGCGAACACTTGCTATCAGTGTAGACTAAACTGCCTTCAGCTGGCACGCCAAATGAGATGTTCAAGGCAGTGCGATCATTTGGTGTACCAAACCGACCAAACACTCCTCATCTGTGGGCCATTCGGTTCGAGTGTACCAAGTGGCTGCTGCTTTGTGCGTTGGAACGCAGACTTCTTACTGACGCGTCGTCTCGTCTCCAGGTGGAGAGGTGACCTCGCCAGCCCGGCGGCGTCCGTCCGCGGCGGCGGTGGCGCCGGCTGCGGCGGCCGACGCACGGCGGGGCTCCGGGCGCACCGGCGACGGCTGCGCTCCTTCCCCGCGCCGCCTGTCGCTGACAGGAAACCCACACTACGCGCTGGCGCAGCTGCCGCCGGCCGCCGCCGGCCGTGTCGAGGCCAGCGAGCCAGCGCCGTCGCCAGGGTTCGCATCGTCAGCGGCCTGCTGCACCACGAGCGCGCAGCAGGAGGCGTCGATGTGCGGTGCCGCGCGGCCGGCAGCCGGCGGCGGCGCGTGCCCCTCAGACGCCGCCAGCCGGACGTTAAACAGCACCATGTGCACGCGGCCAGACGGCAGCACCGGCTCCGGCTCGGACAGCGCGCGCCACCGCCCGCTGCGGCCGAGCGGTGCCACGGACGGCGACGCGCCGGTCAACGCTGACCTGCGCGGAGCCCTGTCCGACAGCGCCGACCTGTGCAGCGGCACCCTGGCTGCCGCCGGTCAGGTGGACATCGACTACAGCGTGCACTCGGCGCACACGTCGGTCGGCTCTGTCGTCACGACGCCCGGCTCGTTCCCGCGCAAGACCACCGTCTCCAGCACGTTCGAAACGGACAGCGACTACGTCCAGGTGCCTTACGACAGGCACGGCCAGCCCCGGATGGCTGAGCCGGCGGGCGGCGTGCCCATGGCCACGGTGACGACGGTGACGCCCGTGTGTGTGGCGCAGTCATGCCAGACGGCGGCGGCGGACGAGCGACCGCCGCCGGCGGAGGCTGCCGTGCGCGTTGTCACCGTGCCGGCGGCCGGGGCGCCGGTCTCGGGTGAGGCGTCGGCGCGCTTCATCACCGCCCGGCCGCCAGTGACCGTGCTGCGTGCATGCGTGGCGAAGGCGTCGCTCCTCGAGCCCCAGCCGCCGCCGGCCGCCCTGTCGCGCCCAGCTGCTCCAGAGCGCAGCGTTGCATTCAGCGGCAACAGCTGCCTGGACGTGCGCGCGTCCCACCCGGCCCCGGGTCCCGGGCCGGGGCCCCGCGCGTCGCGACTAGCTCTCAGCACGGCGCAGAAGCCCGCGGCGATGCGGCCAGCGCCCGGTCCGGTGTCGGGTGGCGCGTTGGCACGTGTGGGGCCGCACCCTACGCTGGGCCACGCGGTGACTCAACCCTCGCTGAGTCCCTGTATGCACGCGGTGCCGACTCCCAGCTGGCAGCAGTCGGCACCAACCACCAGCTGGCAGCAGCCGGCGATCAGCGCGGAGCTGGCCGCAGCTGGCAGGCTGACCCAGTTGGCGGCGGGTCCGCTCCTGCCGTGTGGCCGAGCCCCGGCGCAGCGCGCCAGCCTGGCCACCGTGTATATCGGCCAGCTGGCCCGCTCGCAGATCGAGCAGTTCCAGCGCCAGCTGCTCTCCAACTCAGATTACGTCATGTACCCGCTGAAGGACCCGGGCATCAGCCGGCAGGAGTACATGGACGCCAGGCGGTGCGGTGTGGCGGACCTCTCGGACGGCCGGCCGCCGCCGCCGCTGTGCCGCGCCCCCAAGGACAGCGCGCAGTACCGCAGCTCTCTTAGCGCAGGCCCGCGCGGCGCCAGCGTCGGCCCGACGCGCGAGGCGGTCGGCTCGCTGGTGGAGCGGCTGGACAGCCTGCGCCGCCACCTCAGCTGCCAGTCGCTGGCCCCCTCCGCCACGGGCGCGTCCGCAGTCAGCGGCACGCCAGCGCCCAGCCCGGCACTGCCGACGGCCGCCAGTGGCCGGCGCGCCGCTGTGAACCGCGCGACCTCGGACAACCTGCCGGCGTCGGCCGGCGCGGCGCGACGCTCGGCGGCGTCGGCTCACGGCGATGAGCGGCCTCCACCGCCGTACTGGCAGGTTAGTCAGCTCGGTCAGCCAGTGGCCGGCGGTGTTGCGACAGATGTTCTGAAGCGTGCCTGGTGCCGGTTTGTCACCATGCCATCTGCATGCGCCGCTGCTGGTCGTCGGGTGATCGGGGAACGGGTGCGCTGCTGCCGCGTCAGGTGATAGGCGCGCCCCTGACGACGATGGTGTGCTGTACCCAGGCGCAGCAGCTGCTGCCAGACGCAGCCCCGAGCCGGTCGCTGGTGTCCGTCAGCCAACCAAGCCAGTCGCAGCGACAGCGGCGCCAAACGCTGAACAAGCACCAGCTGCTGGTCCGCCAGCACCTGGATTGCATGGAGCGAGTGTCGCCGGCCAGCGGCGCCGAGCCGCCGACGCCGACGGCACCCTCTGGCCAGCCTCAGCTGGACGTGGACCAGCTGCGGCTGACCAGCGACCGGCTGGACCTGCCCCTCATCTCGGCGCTGTGCCGCGACCGTCTCCTGCGGTCGCCGACCTGCCGGCCACGCACCTGGCACGAGGCGAGCGGCGCACCGGTCGCTTCGCCGGCGCACCCGACCGCCGGCCAGCCGATCCTCGCACGCCACCAGTCGCTCGCGCTGCCGGCGTTTCCGGCGGCCGGCCGTCCGTCGGAGCCGGGCAGGCCGCGACGCCGGCCGGTAGCCACCAGTCACCGCCATCCGTCGGTCGTGACGCCGCTCACCGCCAGCACGCCTGCCAGGCGCGGCGGGAAGGCGGCGCCGGCAGCGGGCGCTGGGGCTGCCCGGTGACCCAGCCGTCAGGTGCCACGTGGTGTCACGCGCGCCTGTCGTCAGGGTCATCCGCGATAAGGTTGCCACAAATCAACGATGCCGTGGATCGCGTCCTTGCGGGCGTCTGAGTCATTTCCCTTCCGCCCGTCTCATCGTGCCTACATTGGCAAGTCATGATCCGGTGTGATCCGGCTCCCGCCGGGTGTTCTGGCCAGTAGCTTGTTTTGCTAGCGTCTGGATGGTCCCGAACAGGCGGGCAGCAGGGGTTTTCAAAGGCGGGGTTTGGTCGCAAACGGAGACGCAGAATTTGGCTGTAGTTTCAAAATGCAATGGAGGAGAAGCCACCAACAAAAGAGATTGTGTTGCTCCCTGGAGCCATGTAGGCCGTCCAGATGAATCCACTTTCCAGGCAATGAGTCTTTCCATAATCACATGTATTCAACTCCCGTGTGGCTTATTTATCATTTTTTCGTCCAAGACCCGTCCCGGGAAGCTTATCCTTGAAGCCTCTTGCTTCGTCCGCCAGTGTACTGTCACCTCGTGTTTGTACTTCAAGGGTAATGGCCACTGACGCTCGCTGTGGTTCGGCATGGAATGTCGGTTTGGGCAAGGCAAGATATCGGGTCATGTTCCACGTTGATTGTGATATGTCCTCCGAGCGTGTGGCAAATGTGTCTTCACCTCTAACACTGTACGGTGTATGTGTAATGTCGTGTATGCGCACCTGAACAATCGCCAAGTTTTCCAAAGCAATTCATATTTTATCAGAATAGTGTGTAGTTTGTGGCGACGTGGCCCTTACTTCGTGTATTGTAGGCGTAGATATGTGTGCTTAATCTTGTTGTTATGCGTGGTGCACTGCGTATGTCAAATATGACCGGTCGCTTACCACCAGCACTATTTGTCTACTCTACAAAGCACTGAGGACGCATAGGCGGATCCTGGGGGGAGGGGGGGGGGGGCACGGCGGCATGGCCCCCCAAACCCTCTGAGAATATGTTTTGGCTACCCCAAAATATTCGCAGAACTTCATAAAAGTTTCGTCTACTTACCGGCTGTTTTAACTTCAACTGTTTTAACTGTTTTGTTTTAACTTCTGTTTAAGATTCAAAAGGATTTCGTTGTTTTTTTGTTTTTTTGTTTTGAATGGTGTCCCTACTAGGTTCTCGCGAAAGGCACCATGCACTGAACCCCGGATCCCACACCAGCCAGCTGACGACGAAAGGATGCCCCCCCCTCCCAAAACTCCGGGCTAGATACGCCCCTGTGAGGACGGGCTACGGCCCTGCAGCTTCGAGTCCACCTGGGGCTTGGGCAGGGCAGTGGTCTGGCCAGATTTCCTCCCCCTATGATGCGCCCCGCTTGTCATTCCATGGGTCAGGTAACGCGCACGATTGTGTTGTTTTGTGGCAATTCAAGTTCCTTATGCGCACACGCGCACATGCATGTATAAGCACATGCACACGCATAAGCACATGCACACGCACACGCACACGCACACGCACACGCACACAGGCGCATAAAACGATGCTTTTCGTCCGCACGTCTGATTTGTGACAATTCAAGTTCCTTACGTCCACACACACACACATGCATGTATAAGCACATGCTCTCGCATGAGCACACGCACACGCACACGCACACACGCGCATAAAACGACGCCTTTCGTCTCCTTCGACAGTGACAGGTATGCTCCCAAGAACCAGCTAGACGAGAACTATTTATAGATACTTTCCTAGGGCGCCGCGTGCGCCCTTCACGCTCAGCGCGGGGCGGTGGCGGTTAGGAATGTGCCGTGAAAGGTGCTTTGATGACCAAGGTTATGTCGGCTGATGAGCGGCTCACACTGGCGGCCGGTAGTGCTCCTGTAGCGGCACGAGGTCAACACTTCGTCGTGTGGGTCACCAATAGGTGGCGCCAACGAGTGCTGTGTGCTTGTGTGTGTGGCATTGTGTGTCGCGTGAAAGCTGTGTGTGCCTCCATAGCTTCGCTGCACTGTTAATGTTGGGGAATGATATGAATGATATGCCTACCACAGAACGATTGCTAGTATAGCTATTGTTTGCCCGCTAATGGCATATTGACTTCATAACTAAGCTGAGGTTTGCTGTTGTCAAGTGATGTAGTCAAACCGAGCCATGTCGATGATCAGAGGCTCTCGTCGACCCGCTCGGTGGCCATCCACCCGTCTGGCAAGACCTCAGCAGGTAGTTTGCTCATTTTGCGGCCCCCAGGCAGGGAGTCCGTTTCTGCATCGTCGTTCTTATCGCTTTCCCGTTCGCACTAGTTTGGAACTAGTGCGAACACACCTTTTCGCTTAATTTGTGTTGTTCTCTTCTCGCTACCCCAGTGTGGGGAAGCGGAGCAAGCGTAAGAAGGACGACACTGACACGGATTCGAACTCGACCTCTGACATCGATCATTCCCTGGATATGGCGACGGAAGTGCCGCTAGCCCCGCTTTGGCTACCACTTCACCTGATGACCCTCGCGCGCCCCAGGCCCATTCCATTGTTTCACGCACTTCCGCCACGGTGTCTGGACAGCACCCTTCTCCGTTCAACGTCCCCAGTTCCGACCCTCGCTCGCCTTCGACCACCCCGGTGCCTGTTCGATCTGATACTGACTCTCGCTTGACAACGACCAGTGTTCGCCTACCCTCTGAACCAACTGTGGATCCTCTCGGCTTTTACGTTATTGTTCAGCCTTGTGATGAAAACGTGTCATTCCGGAAGATCAACGTTTTCAGGCCATCAAAGCAAATCAAGGCTATCTGCGGTCCATGCAAACTCAAAATTGAAGCGCCGGCAAACGGATCGCTCATCATTAAAACAACCACTCGCGCACAAACCAAGGCCCTATCAAAACAACTGAATTTTGTGGCAAACAAGTAAGTCTCCCTGCACCATGTCAGAAACACCAGTAAATGCACCATCTTCGCGCCCGAGCCCCATTTCATGACGGAGGACGAGATCCTAGCGGAGCTCAGAGACGAGCAAGTTTGCCGTGTCCGATGGCTGGCGACTTTCAGAGATGGCCAGCGTCGCGACACCAGCCTGCTCGTCACCACCTTTGCTACTACTCGACTTCCAGAGACGCTCACTGCTGGTTACCTTCGTTATAAATTAAGAGCATTCATTCCAAATCCAATCAGGTGTTTCAAGCGCAACGGTTCAAATGCCAACAGTTCGGACGCGGCAGCAAGTACTGCAAACAGCGTGCCAGATGCTTGAAGTACGGCGAGGACTCCTCAAGAGGGCTCTGCCTGCACATCACCCCAGAAATGCCTGAGCTGTGGAAGTGCTGGTCACGCCACCAACTCTCCCTCAGTGTCCCACATGGAAAAAAGGAAAATAAATTTGTTCTGAAAAGGACAAAGACGGATGTGTCGTACCCCAAGGCACCGGCGCACTAATATATCCAAATGTCGTCGCAGCCTTAGCAAAACATGTGCACAAGTAGCAAAAGCACGATGGCCACATGTGGAACACAGACAGGACTTCATTACCCATCTGCCTCTTGAAGCTTCTCAACTCTCCGCCGTTCGGTCTCACCTGAGTCAACGGCGCAGACCCAGACAAAAAAACGCCGTTGAGTCGCCCCTGGCTGGGCGCGCGGATGCGCAGGCGCCCGTGCACCCCGTCCCTCAGGCTGGTCGGCGTTCCAGCCCGCCGGCTGTGCGTGATACAGGTGCGATTCAGGCCGTCCAGCGTTCTAACCCTCCGGCTATGAACAGCCGGCGGCCCGCTCCCTCTGGCCGCCACACGAACGTTACCTCCCCTCCCCCCCCACCACAATACCTGTCGAAACACGCTCGAACGAAGACCACCGGTCCCGTCCATCGGTGATGGTGGCGATGGGACGGGCTCGGTCTGTTTCGTTCGGGTGATTCCCACCAACCGGTGTGAATGGATCCCTTCATCATTAAATGTCTTTCATTTTACAGTGGAATTGTCGCGGCCTCATTTCAAAATGGTCTAAAATGAAAGCACTTTTTGCCGTATTACTTCCAATCATCATTGCCGTACAGGAAACATGGTTTCGTCCCACCGACACATATAACATTAAGATGTCAAATTACTCGTTATATCGCTGTAAGACCACGGACGGTGAGCTTCGCCAAGGTGGGGTGACGCTGTACATTAGTCAATAATTAACACACACGCCACTCGCTTTTAACACACGTCTTCAGGCTATTGCATGCTCAGTTCCGCTGCATGGCCGTACCGTCGATATATGCTCAGTATACATTACACCAACTTATAACAATAAGGAGCTCTTATGGCAACTTGACCAACTCGTTGCTCGATTTCAAGACCCTTTTCTCATCCTCGGCGATCTCAACGCTCACAGTCCACCACTTTTGATATTGCTGCTGATGCAATTCCTCGATATATACCCCGTTGGAATATGCGAAAGGCAGACTGGACCAAATTTCAGGAACTTTGTACTACCAGCCATCATCGCTTTGATTCACCAGAGCAATCAGTTGATCTGACACATATTCTTCATTCTGCAGCAACCGCGACAATTCCACTGACTAAACCTCCACCACGACGCCTCCCTGTGCCGTGGTGGACAGATGATGTTAAGAAGGCCGCCAGACGCAAACGTGCTTTTCGAAATTATCAACGCAATCACGATATTCACATTTACTCGCCCGCAACTCTGAACGCGCTCGAGCCAGGAGAATCATAAGAGCCGCCAAACGTTGTTCCTGGTTAAACTTCCTACGACAATTTACATCATCTACTCCCTTAAGCAAAATTTGGGGATTAGTTCGTACACCTTCTGATAAGCGTCCGTCTTCTTCTCATTCAGCTCTCCGAATCAACAATGCTTTAGTTACATCATCACCACAGGTCACGGAGGCTCTTGCCCAAAGTCTAACACATTTCAGTTCTTCCGACAATTGCAAAGCAGGTTTCGTAGATCAAACTGGACCCCAATTTCATTTACATTCCCATTGTTTTCTTTCCGACAATACGGAGGACTACAATGTACCATTTTCTCTCTCAGTGCTCTGCGATGCGATGAAATCGACCGATGACACTTCAGTAGGCCAGGATGAACTACATT